TTTTTTTTTTTTTTTTTTTTTTTAAGTGTATATATGCAAAGTAACACAAGGAGGAAAGAATCTGAACATTTGAGAGTTTTTGTAAATGCATTTAACTAGGCATATTTTAAAATATAAATACAATATTATTCAGGTTTGTGTGAGCTCTGTTCATGAGTGGTACTAGAAAGGTCCAGTTGTCGGCAATATGGGACTGGAGGAACTGCTAACATTTTGTCTCTGGAGGTAAGAGTAGCTGGAATCCATACATGTTTTTCATAAGTTGGGAAGGTGAAGTAGAGAGTAGAGCCTCCCTGGAGCTGCTGGTCTTTCTGTCAGCTCTCAGTGCAGTGAGGTGCTCGTATTAATGACCATTATTCAGGTAAGGGCAGAACTATATTTTGAGGTTGGTTAGAATTTAAAATGGAACAGAGGGAGGGAAGAAGTGTTTGTGTAAGTAATACATGGGGGGTTTTGGGTAGGGAAATGGGTTTAATTGGTGGGTAAATAGATGTTAGATACAATTTTAAAAGCTGTTTTATAATGAGTATGTTGGAAATATAGTTTAATTTTGTGGAACTAAAGAAAGTATTAAAAAACATCTAATAGATTATTTGTATGACTTCACCCGTTGAAATTCTGCAACTGTCCACTAGTATTTTTCATCTACTAGTACATTCTTGAACACAGCAGTGAACAATCAACAGCTAATCTTTTTAACAGCAAACTCCCCTGGCAGACATTAATTTAAACATGCAGTGGTATCTGAGGAATATTATCCCAGATCCCCAAAACTGCAGATCCTGCCATGCCTTGCAGATGGTTGAGGAAGAGCAAAGCATACAAGCCACAAATACAAATGACTACAAACCAGCTATAAAGATGTTCCACATTTAACAAGTAACATCTTTGTGTGTGGTTGGCCATTTTATCTTATGATAATTGCTTGCATGTGTGACATTACAATTTATTGCACAATTAACATGTTACATTCATCATGATTAACCTCTGCTAGGAGTCGAAGAGACGCATGTTACCTCATTGAACATCTTGTCTGAAAACCATTTTATGCAGATTCATATGTTCAGTATTAAGCAGGTTCTTTATACTACATGAACTTATTTACAGAAACATGGAGGATGTCAGCAGATGCACAGACATGTCTGTGTCACTGGTTTGAACAGAGTACAAAATAGGGTTACTATACATCCGGGTTTTCCCGTACATGACCTTTTTCTGGGTCCTCCAATCTCTGCTTGGGTGGTTTTTGAAGTCTGAACAAATGTCTGGGATGTTGCTCTGCTTCACTGGTACAGGCCTGGGGAGGGCGATTGGAGGCAGGGGGTACCATGTGCATCTGCAGATGCACACACACATGGCTAGCATGCAGCCAGGCAGGTTAGTGGAAGCAGTCTCTGCAGCTGGATGCAGGTAAGTCTATGGGGAGTGGGGGTTGGAGGGCCAGGGCTTGGGGACTGTTGAGCTGGGAGGTGGAGAGGTTGGGTGTGTGAGGGGTAGCAAGTGACTGCTGCCGCTGGAGAATGGTATCTAAACATGAGAGCTGCAGCAGGGTACAGGGGCAGGAGGGAGGTGCCTTGCCCCTCCAGCAGGGAGAGGGGGTGGAGGGGGCCCTTCAGGGGGGCAATAGGGTGTTGTGGCACTGGGGACTGGTGCCCATGCCCACAGGGACAGGGCACCTGAGAAAACACTGTGGTGGGGAGGGGGGCAGGGGGTGTAGCCAGACTGCCTGGTGCAGCATGGGAGCCCTAGCCTGGACCCAGGGATGCTACAGCTGTCCCCTCCTCCCTCCAGCCTCTGCTGGGGCCAGACACACTCTGTAGCCACTACATTTGGGCCTGGTCAGGATGGGGGCAGCTGGAGACCCTCTCTGGCAGTGCTGGGGGGAACAGAGGGGCTGTGGGCTGGGAGTGAGGGGCACCAGCAGGGCGGTGAGGACTGTGGGTGGGGAGTGGGGGGCTGGGGGTCAGGAGTGCAGGGTGCTGGCAGCGCTGGGGGCTGAGGGTTGGGAGTGAAGGGCAGCAGCTTGGCCCAGTGCGGTGGGGACTGGGTAGGGAGTGAGGGGCACTGGCAGGACCAGGGGTCTGTGGGACAGGATTGAGGGGCAGCAGCAGGGATGGGGAGCTGCAGGTTTGGACTGAGAGTCACCTAGCATAGCCAAGGGGAGCAAGGGACTGTGAATCAGGAGTGAGGGGCACTGTTAGGGCCAGGGGTCTTCAGGTCAGGAGTGAGGGAGAGCACCAGGGACAGAGGGCTGCAGGCTGGGAGTGAGAGGCACTGACAGGACCAGGGGGTTGTGGGTTAGGAGTCCGGTGTCCCCCTAACAGACTCCTAACAGGTGTCCTTTTTTGTGGAACTGGCAATATGGTAACCCTAACTAAAACACTGCAAAGGATGTCGGTCAATAGTAGAGCCTGAAAGAATGTGAAAAGTGTTATGAACTTTTTTAATTACTAATTTTATAGTGACTCTTTGTATGTGTCTCTCCACAAAGGAATATGTGTTGTTTACCGCATAAGTTATGCATATGAATTGACTTATTCAAGTGAAATAAAAATCAGGTTTTTGGTGCTTTGCATCTATGAAAGGTGAGCTTGGACCCTTTTACAGAGAAGGTTAGATCTTAATCTGAAAGCTCTAATGGAGTATCTTAACACTTGGGTTACAATGGTATGTTTTAATTAACCTAAAGAAAAATATAATGACAAACAATGAGTGTGTTTTCTATTTTTAGCAAAGCATGTACTGAAAATATGCAAATCTATTGTGTGGAAGAATAGGAGAGGGCAACTACATTTGGGAAAAGACAACCCTTTGATAATGGAAAGTGAGTTTCTTCAGTGTTTGAATGTTAATTTACATTGACTTTGGGGGAAAATGATTGTCTAAAATTGAACGTACATAATCTATGATTAAATTCATGAATGGTGGAAGAAATGCATCTTTAAAAAATCAATCTTTCTATAGTGGTGATTTTTTTTTTTTTTAAATGCTCTTCTCAGTATGGTTTAAATGATTATCAAAGTGGAGTTCTTTTTACCTTCCTCTAGAAGATTGAGCATGGTACATCCTTTGTGATTAGTTTCTTCCAGATGAACTTGTTTGGCATTGATTTACCTCAGTCCTTCCATAGTTAGTACAGAGCAAAATATTGATAGTTCACTCTTTTCTGTAATGCCCTATGAACTGAGGGGAAAAATTCAAGAAAATAGTAATTATTTTTATTTATTTATTTTTCAGTGATCCTATTCTGCATGGCAGCCCTAATATTTCCAATAGGATTTTACATCAATGAAGTTGGAGGTCAACCATATAAATTGCCCAACAATACAGTGGTTGGGTCTTCATATGTACTGTTTGTTTTATCCATTTTCTTTACAATAGTTGGACTTCTATTTGCTGGCAAAGTTTGTTTACCTGGCTGATGAATGTCTAAACTTCATGACTCTTATTTTGGAAGAGAGCAAGACATCAAAGTTGCATTCTCTGGAGGATGCCTAGATCAGACTATCAAATACTAACTGAAAAGAGGAATGCTTTGACTTGTTCTCACTATGCACTTTGGATAAAAAAGGAGAGCCTTTCCCATAACCAAATACAACGCTGACTAATCTCCTGAGCATATTAATGCAGTCAGGTCTGCACTGTGATAGGAACTAGTGAAGAAGAATGCTTTACACTGAGAAGCATATTGCCCCATGTTACTGTACCATACCTGTTTTTAATGTCTAACAAATTGGAAGTAAAAGTATTTATGAACTTTGTGGTAGACCAGAGGGTTGCAAAGGAATTCAAGTGAGGCTGGCCTCGCTGTTTAGGAGATTAGTGTTTTACATCTTCCTTCTGACGAGCAAAGCCTTTGGCACCAAAATGGATCCGTCTTGCATTACTGCACCAAGAAGCCAATAGATCAAAACATGTTCTCTAAAATGTATGTAAGAACAAAAATGACATCCCTCCTACTCCCCTGGGCCCCAACGCCTCAACTGTAGAAAAACGCTAAGACATTTTAGGGGAAAATTTTTCCTTATATTTATATAAAATATATATATATTTTGCTGATGCAGTATACAGTGTGTGTGTATGCGCATATCCACAAGGATATGGATATACACACAACAGTTCCTGGAAGAGAACTCAGAATGCTTTGCTAGCAAAACACTGTGGTGTGCAAAACTAGAACTCAATAGAAAAAAGCCATTTCTCTGAAGGCCACATAGCTGAGAGTCTTCAGTTTACCTCATTCTTTGTAGCAGCCCTTGATTTTAACAGTTTTTTGTAATAGGTACAAACAATCCCATGCCTTTCTAGGTGCAATTTTAAGTTAAGCTAAAATTCTTTGTATGGTAATTTATTTGTATATGAGGATAGAAGGTGAAATCATGTCATACCTTAAAACCCTAATTTTGGGAAACTGACACTATTCACTATTTAAATTATTAGCAACTGTTGTACAGGGAGTCTCTCCTTTTTCTTTCTTTCTTTCTTTCTTTCTTTCTTTACATTGAGTGCTTTAATTTATGTTCAAGCACAGCAATTTACCACAGGTGAATATTCCTGTAGAGCATATAAAATGCAGTGTTTAGGTCAAGCTATTAAAGAAAATTATCTTGTAAAGATGGATTAATTTATTTTCATTTGTGAAAATTAATGTAATCTATCTTTATCAAAATGAGTAACAAGATTGTGTTATTATGTCTGTATGCCTTATTGTTGTTATCAAATATGGATTTAAAGGTCATCTAAATTCAGAGAACATGCTGTCCCCTGAAATCGGTTTGTGTATTGTTTAAATATGAAAATCAAAAAACTTTGGATCCGTGTGTCACGCTGCATCTGAATAGTCACTGATTTGGATCTGGCAGTCCTTATTTCTTTAAAAAAAAAACAAAGGCTCCTCCATTTCCCTCTTCCCCCCTAACACTCACACATACAAGAGTCTGGGAGAAGCCCCATTTA